TGCCGCTATAAACATGGGTGTGCATATATCTCTGTGGTATGATGCTTTTAATTCTTTCGGGAAGATACCAAAAAGAGAAATAGCTGGGTCAAATGGGACCTCTAGTTTTTGTTTCTTGAGGAATCTCCACACTGATTTCCACAGTGGTTGCACTAGTCTACGTTCCCGCCAACAGTGGAGAAGGGTTCCTTTTTCCCCACAGCCCCTCCAGCGTGTGTTATTGGTTGGTTTCTTGATAGCAGCCATTCTTTCTGGAATGAGATGGAATCTCAGCATTGGTTTAATTTGCATTTCACAAATGACCAGTGATGTTGAACATTTTTTCTGAATATTAGTATTTTAAAGGTATTTTGCAAAAATGCTTATTTGTTTTATAGGAGATTATTATCCTGCTTTTATTTAGTGCCCCTTTTTTGGATTTGGGGGAGGGGTTTGAGACGGGGTCTCACTATATATTCTGGGCTGGCCTTGCACTCAGTGATCTTCCTGCCTCAGCCTCCCAAGTGCTGGAATTACAGGCATGCACCACCAAACCCAGCCCTAGCAGTCCTAATTTTCCTTCCTTTTCCTACTCTCTCCCTCCTTCAGCCTTCCCTGGAAGCCCCTAACAGATTGGAAACTTGTTTCCAAGTCGAAAGTTTAATATTTCTGTGGAAACCATTTGAGGAGGGAAAGTTGTTATTAACAACACTGTGTACATTTAGACTCTGGACCACTTTGAACTCTGAGAATGCTACACTAACCAGCTGAACCAGTGCTTAGATTTTCTCTAATAATAATGGAGTTGCCTCTGTACCTTCTGTGTAGTGCTAGGCTTCAAACCCTTTTCACCTGGAGAAAATGACAGCTGTGCTTGTAATGGGCCCTCTGCCATGGCCTTGCCCAATTCCTGAGTCTTAACTGTGCTATATTAATTGTCCCTCATTCTACTGTTTTGTGTTCCTGGCCATGGCTTGGTAATCTAATTCAGATCTCTGATGCACTTCATTTCCATTCCTGCCCCGGTCCAGATACTGATTTCCACATTTCCCGTTCCATCCTGAATACCGGCTTTTAAGCTCCTGATTGCTTGGTAGACAGGTTCTGATTTTGCATCAGTCCCAATCCAAGTTGTCCCAAAGAGTAATTGCCCCTGATAGATGTTAATATTCAATGCTCCCTACAAAATGAGCTTCTCAAATAGAAACATAGATGGCACTAAGCTGGACTTCCAAAATGCTGACCATACATGACAAATTGTCCTCTCCTCCTCCCCTCCTCTTTCCCTCCAGTGCTGGTGTTTGAACCCAGGGCCTTTTGCATGCTGGGCAAACATTCTTACCACTGAGCTACACCCCCAGCTCTGTTCCTGATTTTTTAACGTTAAGATGAACACCTTTGTGGCTCAGTATTCAAGCACATCTATGATTAGTTTCTGATGATAAATTCTTAAATAAGTTCTGGTTTTAAAAACTAAACATTTTGAGTCTTTGATGACTACTGCTATTTCCTCATAAAACTCATTCTACCTATTGCAGTTTCCAGTGGGAAGCCTGACCACACAAGGTGCTGCTGTGTCCCTACCAGGTTTGGAAAGTAAAATAGGTCAGCCTATGAAGCAGATTTAACATTAACTGTGATAGGCTAATTCATTTATCTAATAGTCTCCGTAAGTCTGTTTGCAGGAAGAAGTGGAACTGTCAACCAAAGTAGGTATTTAAGACTGTCTCCCAAGCATATTCTCTTGCTAGAGGCTGGGCACCATATAGGAAAACGAAGTATTCTAAGATTGGTTGGCAGACATGGAATCTGAACAAGGGGTTAGTCGATCTTTAAAACTGGAGTCTTCGGGGCAGGGATTTAGCTCAGTGGTTCTTCCGCCTGCCTCACAAGCGCAAAGACCTGTGTTCAATCCTCGGTACAAAAACAAAAAAACAAAAACCAAAAACAGGAGTCCTCTTTGCTAATATAGCTTGAGAGTGTCTCATTCATTTCCTAAAGAACCAGTGAAGTTCACTTCAGCAGTGCTAGGACTCTCCCTTAGTAAATTGAGTGGGCACAACAAACGTTTGCCTCTGTGATTATTAGTCTCATTCCTTTACTTCTGCTTCTGGGGCTGACCAGTCCCCTCTTCTGATATATATAGTTCTTTATTTAGATAAATTAGTGCATGGAATTTGGTAATGTCTTACAGACTAGAGAGCCATTCTGTCACTTTAAGGCTTAAAATCTCATATCTCTATGTTTTAGTTCAGGGCTTTTGGTTTAATGGTCTGATGTTCGGATATTTTTTAGTTTTAGATGCTGAACAGACTATATCACCAACATCTCTTCCTTGTCTTTCTTTCCACTTTCCCACTGCATGGGAGTACACTTCCTTTCTGTGTGTGTGTGTGTGTGTGTGTCTGTGTATGTTTTGAGAGAGAGCGAGAGAATACATTTAGTTACTGGCCAGGATCTCTTTCCAGTGCTTTTTGTTGATAAAGGTTAGTTGGAGAGTTTACCAGTCTTGGGCATGTCTGGCATCGTTCATAAGTAGGTCTGTTATTTCAACCAGAAATTCTGATATTTCATCCTTTGAGATTCTTAACTGAATCAGGTAATTACTTGTTTTATTGATTTGGTTTAGAATATTCTGTGGATTTATAATTACTTTGTCTTTCACATAAATTAAAGAATGTGATCATTTAATTTGATCTTTTCCCAAAACTATGATAGAAGAGAAAAAAAATTTTTTTTTTTTTGGTACTGGGGATCGAACTTGGGACCCTGTGCTTGCGAGGCAGGTGCCGGAACCACTGAGCTAAATCCCCGGCCCCCCAAGCCCCCCAAATTTTAAATATATCACCATTGTAAGAAGGACAGTTTGGGGGGCCGGGGATTTAGCTCAGTGGTTCCGGCACCTGCCTCGCAAGCACAGGGTCCCAAGTTCGATCCCCAGTACCAAAACAAAAAACAAAAATTTTTAAAAAAAAGGGCAGTTTGGTTGTCATGCTTTCCTAGGAAACAAATGGTGAGACTAGAGCTGCAAATATTTATTTCATTATAGCAGGAAATCAGAATTTTTACTTTAAAGAATTCATGAAATAAGGGCCAGGGATTTAGCTCAGTGGTTTCACCGCCTGCTGTGCAAGCACAAGGACCTGAGTTCAATCCCCAGTACAAAAAAAAAAAAAGAATTCATGAAATAGAATAATTTTGCCCTAAAATAACATGGGTATCTAGAATTGTATGTATCTTATATTATCTTTACTTGACTCCCTTTTGTTCTACCATTATCATCAGCTGTGGTAACTGTTTCCTTGAAGACACTCAGCTCTCAGTACTTTCCTCACTCTGAAATAAGTGTCTTGGGAGTTGGGAGTGTAGACTAGCAATGCAGTACTTGCCTAGCATATGCAGAACCCTAGGTTTGAGTTCCAGCAACACACAAAAAAATTAAGTTTAAAAAATACATAAATGTTTTGTGTGTAACAGTCTCTAAGCAGAATACCAGACTTGCATCAATTAAGTTAAAAGGCATTTGGTTGCAAACAGGACCCTCTATACAGACAAAACTACTGCATTTCTTTAATCCTTTCAGATAAATACATGTTCCAGGGGACAATGAAGTGATCTTTTTGGTTAGTGAAACTAAATGTTTCAGCCATTAGCTTCTCATGCTGTTTTCTCTGTTACAAGACATAAAAATAGTGTTTATTGGGCCAAGAAGTCTTGATAAAGACAAAAAAGTTCAAGAAAAGGGAAAGGATAGAACAAATAAAATGCTATAAGAGAAATACAAAACAAATTGTTATATAATATTTACTCTGGAGTTTATATTAAAACAATTAGAAATGGTTTAGCCCAGCAATAATATTTAGCAATTTATTAGTCATACTATTAAAGTATCTGGTGCTGTTCTATTTTTAATTTTTCATTTTGTAATTATTTGGAAAATAATAAATATTATTGAAAATATTTTAGGCTTGTTTATGTTTTATTATGTAGTAGATTAGAGTTATACAACTTGATGGTTCCCTAAAAATAATTTTTGTTAACGTGTGTGAACAAAATTCTTTTCTACAGTTATGTATTTCTGATCTGGTAGCAGAAAAGTGTGCCTAGCATAGAATAGGTGAATGAGTCAATTAGTTGAGATTGTTCTAACTAAACATAACTAGAATAGAGCAGCCCTAATAAAAGAGACATGCCAATATTACTTACTTTGTTTGTTTTCTAGTATAAATATTAGCATCACTGTTTATAACTTGCTGTTGTGATGGAGTCTTTTTCCCCCTACATTTAAGAGAAGAGGGATTGTTGACAGTTCTTTTATGAGACTTGTAAAAAAAAATTATGACTTCATTTAGATCATATTTGTGAAAAAATATAGAGCCAAAGAAATTTTAAATTCCAAAACTGTTGAACTCTGTATTTTAAAAATTATGTTTGAGTATATATAAAAATTATATTTGAGTATATATATTCCTTTAAAGAGTACTTAGATTATATTTGAATTAGTTTCTTAAAACTAACAACTTGGGGCCAGGGATTTAGCTCAGTGGGTTTGCTGCCTGCTGCACAAGCACAAGGACCCGAGTTCGATTCCTGGTACCAAAAAAAAAAAACTAACAACTTAATGAAAAGACAGCATTTTCCTACAACTTGAAAACATATATTACCTTACGTTGTGTAGGTAATGTAATAGAAATGCTGCGAAACTCCATTAAAAATCATTCTTATTATCATCAGTGTTTCAGTTAAGTTAGGTTCTTTGGACTGCTTTACAATTTTTATATTAAACCCATAGGGAAAAAAACCCTGTACATAATTATCTGTGGAAGAATGATGTCACTGACTCCTCTGTAAATGTTCTTAAAGGAAGTAATTGCCAGCTTGTGCTATTTGGTGCATGCCCGGAAAATAAACTGAACTCTTTGTGGTAGGCTGTGATATATTCTTAGGGTTTTAAACAGTCTTAAGTGTATTTTAATTTGTTATTTATTATTACTTGTACATTCTTAAAATAATTATTTTAGGTCCACTGGCTATTCAGAGGTGATAGTTGTTGTTGGAGGCTGTGAACGAGTTGGAGGATTTAATCTTCCGTACACTGAGTGCTATGATCCTGTAACAGGAGAGTGGAAGTCTTTGGCTAAGCTTCCAGAATTCACCAAATCAGAGTATGCGGTGTGTGCTCTAAGGAATGATATTCTTGTTTCAGGTAAATAAAAAATTACTACAGTAGCTACTTTTGATTTGGGCACAGCTTGGCTGTTTTAAACAACAGTGTCTTAAAATAGTGAAACATGAATACACTCACTAGTTAAAGCAAAGCAGTTTATACCACAAATAAAACTGACTGACTTTTTGCTCTTAAAAACAGGTACAAGTTCATGCAGAATGTTCCACCAGAAAATGCCTTCAATCATATCATACTTTAAAAGTTCCCAAATGTATTTAGAATATGATACAATGTTTTAAACTTTTGTCTTTACTTTGTTTTAAGGATTACTGTAAAGTAATAGAAAGTCAGAAGTACTCATAGAATTAAGCGTCTCTTAATTTACCCGTGTTTTCTGAAATTCTCCCCAAAGTTTATAAAATAGGATAGTCTCTGTAAAATTTTTAATTTTGTCTATGTGATATGTTGCTTTTAAAGTCACACAGAAAATAAAGTTACAGACTTATATATACACTGTATAAATATAGTATTTATGCTTGAAACTGTTAATTGGCAAAATAAATTCACCAGCTTTGGAGATTACATTACCACCATTGAATGATACAACACCACATACCTTTGGGTAGTAGTGTGGTTTTGAAAAAAATCTTTAGAATAATCGTGTTGTTTGAGGTCTTCTGATTGATATCTGACTCCTAATTTAACAGTCTTTTATATTTGTAAAACTCACATTCTGTTTTTTAGTATTTCAAGCCTTTAATCATTACTTCTGAAGATAACAATAGCAAAGTTTAAATCTGCTCTTGTAGAACTATTTCCATTAAGCTGTAAAAGGGTTCCCATCTGATTTACTGAACTGAATTCTCAAATTCTTAAGTTAGCTTAATAAATTCCGTGTTTTCATTACCTGTGTGTTGGTGGCTTAGATCCGTTGGTGATAGATACACAGTGATATATCATTGCATGTGCATTGTTTTGCATTAAGGTGGAAGAATAAATAGCCGTGATGTCTGGATTTATCACTCACAGTTAAATACTTGGACCAGAGTTGCCTCTCTAAATAAAGGCAGATGGCGTCACAAAATGGCTGTCCTCCTTGGTAAAGTAAGAGAAACCACTTTTTATTACTATTGCTGGTTTATATTTCCAAAATAAATACCACAGCTAAATCCTGGATTTCATTTTTCCTCTGGGTATTTTGGATTTGAGCTTTATTTCCTCCCATTCCTAACCACAATAGATAAACTGAAGATACAGACAATATGACACTGTACTTTTGAATGGATATTTTGTTCTCCCAATTTGGAATTCGTGGCAGTGCAGCACATTTCTTTTCTCATGCACCATTAGAGTCCAGATGCCTTAGAAGAATTGGAAAAGAAGAGTTGCATCAAATAAAAAGCAGGCCAATGTCTAATCCAAGCCTTTTTTTTTAGTACTGGGGATTGAACTCGGGTCCTTGCGCTTGCGCAGCAGGCGGCGAAACCACTGAGCTAAATCCCCAGCCCCTTCATTTTTCTGCCTTTGGCAGTCAGGCAGAGATATATTTATTTAAAGTGGTAAAAAAAAATAAAGTGGTGTTATTTTATCTTTTTTTAATTTCACAAATAGGAACAAAACAAATTTAAAATCAGTATTAAGATAAACTCACCAGTATAATGAAGAAAATATACTATTGATTGCAGCAAATTAATATTAAAATCCATATAATTTGGGTTCTGAACCATTTACTGTCCTTATTAACCTGAGAATCATCTAGGACTAGTGGTTGCCAGACTTTTTAATAGCATTGGAACCCTCTTTTAAAAGTTAAATCTCATAGGCCTGCGGATTTAGGTCAGTGGTTCCACTGCCTGCCCTGCAAGTGCAAGGACCCAAGTTTGATCCCTGGTACCAAGAAGAAAAAAGTTAAATCTCATAAAAATCCATTATATTAGACAAAGACACAGCAGTTGGCCAAGGAGTAGCTGTCATTGGCCTCTCCCTGCCACCATCTCTTTCAGCTTCAAGAGACACCACAATTTACTGAACAATTTGAGTGAAAGCAACATACTTGACTGAAAATATGTATGTTTGATTGGTTCCCTCGCGCCCCTTTCTGAAAAGATTGTTATGTCTTGGTCGCTTCTGTGACATATTTCAGAGCTACTGATGGAAACCAGAACTTTTCTAGTTGAAACAGAGGTTGTGGCCTAGGATCCTTCCCACTTAGCTCTTGTCAGTCTTCCTCACCCTAAATCCCTACAGAGGTTTCCTGAAACTCTATACCATGGAATACTAAGAGCTTCTAAAAAGTTTCAAAGCTGTTGTTTCTTAGGGACCTTGATCTAGTAATCTGCAGCTGTTGACAAGGGCAATGAAATCATGAGGACCTTTAGATAGAGGTGCTGGAAATAGAATGTGAATAGAATCTTTTCTAAAACTGTGTTATAGTTTGGTAACTATCCCTCAAGAATGACCAAATAGGGCCAGGGATTTAGCTCAGTGGTTTTGCCGCCTGCCTCACAAACGCAAGGTCCCGAGTTCAATCCTCATTACCAGAAAAAAAAAGAATGACAAAGTATTACTGGAAAAGAAGGACTAAAATAATAGGAGATGAGGTCCAACTAAAAATATATAACTTGTTCAAGGGCAAGGACCCAAGTTCGATCCCTGGTACCAAAAATAAATAAGTAGATAAAAAAAAAAACAGGAGTAAAAATATGTAACTTGTAACTTTTTAACCTGGGTATATAAAGGCAAATGACAATGGTTATGCCTCAAAAACCATTATATATTGGTGCACTCAAATTTATTCACAAACATTATATATTGAAGGTAGCCAAAGCTTGGAAGCAGTAAATCAAGAAATAAAAGGAATCATTCCTGTTACACAACAAGTACTCAATGAAAACCAAAAGTTACGAAATTATGATATACTTTGAATGTAAATCTATAAAATTATTTAAATTTATAAATACTTTCTGTAAAGAAACCTAAGATGGTTTAGAATGTAGACTCTTACAGGAGGAAGGAATTGTAGAGAATATTTAATACAACTTTGTCAGTTTATAAAGAAACTGCACCCTAAAAGCCTTGCCCCAGGCTACACAAAGTGATAAAACAGTGGTGAAAGGCTCAGGATTTTTTTTTTTTTTTTTTTTTTTTTTGGTACCGGGGATCGAACTCGGGTCCTTGTGCTTGCACAGGAGGTGGTAAAACCATTAAGCTAAATCCACGGCCCTGGATTTCTTAATCTAGAAGATTTTTATCTTGATGCTCACAGGATATATTTTCATTTACATGTGTAGGAGTTTCTGAAATTCTGCTGTGTAACAGGAACTATTATTGTCTACATTTTAAATTTAAGAAAAAAAATACTTAATCTCTGCTGTTACACTGTGTGGCGGAGCTAGATATCAACCAACTGTCCTAACTTCCAACCAACCCTGTGCCCTTATTACTACCTGGTACCGCAGGTGCCTTACCCTTAATAGCAGTTTGACCTTTTGTAAGTTACCTCTCTTAGCTGCTTGGTGCTGGGGACACAGAACCACCAACAGATCATTTTAATTAACAACAGCATGTGACATTTGCATGATAAACATGCCATTGGCTAGCTGGGCGTGGTGGCGCAAGTTTGTAATCCCAGCTACTCAGGTGGCTGAATCAGGATGATTGTGAGTTTGAGCCCAGCCTTAGAAATTTAGAAACTGAAAATTTTTAAATGTGGGCTATGGATGTAGCTCAGTGTAAAGTATTTGCTTAGCATGCATGAATCCCTAGTACTACCAAAAAAGAAAAAAACCAAAAAAAATTTGTAAAGGAATTGATAAAAGAATTTTAGGAAAATTTGTCTGTGGTTTAAAGAGCACAAGGGTGAAAAAAAAAATACAGAGCACACAACTAGAGGCTAAAAGGTTATGTAAGATAAATGATGTGGACCCTGAGGTAGGGTAGTAGCAGTGGGAAACAAAAGGGCTGAGATACGAGAGATGCTGTAGAAGGCTGGTCATTAGAAGAAACATGGGTACTAAGCTGGAGAGCTTTGTTAAATTAAAAGTTTTTTGGGCCAGGAATTTAGCTTGGTGGCATGGCGCCTGCCTTGCAAGCTCAAGGTCCTGAGTTCAATCCCTGGTACTGCCCCCCAAAAAATTAAAATTAAAAGTTTCTTTTATATCCTATTATGCATAATGGTTTCTACATATAAGCCACTTAATAAAGAGCTTATTCATTGACTCACCTATCATATAAAGATATCAATTACCCTACCTTCCTCTAATTTATAAAAAGAAAATGTACATGAAAGCTCTCTGAAGTGTAAACTATAGAGTTCATTACTCTTCTAGGTACCATAGGAGCTGAAAGACAGCCCCTGCCTTCCGTGATCTCATGGTCTAATAATCCTTGCCTAATATTTTAGTTTGAAAGCTTTATTCTTTCATAAAAATAAAATACTTCATCAATCATGAGTGTGACCATTTGAGCTACATCATGTAGTTCTCAATGTGAGCAGTATTATCCCCAACAGAGTGATGAAGATATGCTCTTGGAGGGGTGAAAAAATTACTCTCTTCATGTGTAAAGCACTGATTCACAGACAGCAAGGTAAACAAGTATACAACATATTTGTGGTATTGAAAGTTTATTGAACAGGGCCTATTAGGAACAAAAAGGCCCATGTTGGTAGTAGTAGGGGGCTGATTTTTTTAAAAGGCCCAGAAACCCTGAGCTAACTATGTTGCAATTATAGTTACTGGGGTCTTTTTTTTGTATCTTTGTAGTACACAATGATCATGTTCCCTGAAGGGACTTGGTACGTGTACACACTACATACAATCAAAGACTTTTTAAAGAGTAAGAACCCGTAAGTTCTCTAACCAACTTGTTCAAAATTTAGACCTTTGATAATAAAGATAAGTTTCGTGTGCTTTACATACAGGTATATGTTGTTGGAGGCTACGATGGCCAAAACAGACTCAGCAGTGTAGAGTGTTATGACTTCTTCTCAAATCGATGGACTGAAGTTGCTCCCCTTAAGGAAGCAGTGAGTTCCCCTGCTGTGACCAGCTGTGTGGGGAAATTATTTGTGATTGGTGGAGGACCTGATGATAATACTTGTTCTGATAAGGTAGGCCATGTTCTCTTAAAGAAATTGCCAAGCATGTGTACCAACAGAGAAAGAGAAGGTTTGTGGAGTGTGTAGTTAGGTCACTTAGTATGAAGGCATCTTTTGAAATTGACTGGTATCTTATTCATTTGAGGAAAAGCATTGACTTTTTTTTTTTTTTTTGTACCGGGGATCAAACTCAGGACCTTGCACTTACAAGGCAGGTGCAGTGCCACTGAGTAAATCCCCAGCCCACAATTGACTTTTGAGTTGCTAAGACTCTACTGTATTTAATAATTTGCTGCAACAAATGGGATTAAACCTTTTTGAAATGAAGCTAATCTCAGTATCTAAATTTTACTGCTGTCAACTACATAATCTAAAATTATTCACGTCCAACACAGTTGGAAAATGAGGATAAGGCACAATAATTAACTATACTGTTTTCAAATGAGCCATTTTCTGTATACTTTCAAAGTATTTTTAGAAGAAAGGAAGCCCCTGTAGAGTAAATAAATTATGGCTCAGAGTGGCTGCAGTTCATTGATCTCCTGGGACAAAAAAAAATGTGCCCATCCTGATATCTCAGGACACACCATGTTTATTCTGAGAAAAAGTACCTAATTGGTTTGGCAATGTTAAGTGAATTTTGTCAGTCAGTTATTTTCCTAAGTTAAATTTTAATATAGTGCGGTCAGATATTACTTAGAGTTCATTAACTTAGAATCTGTGATCAAAGCACACAGGCCAGCCATGGTGTTGCATAACTGTAATCCCACCACTTGGGAGGCTGAGGCAGGAGGATCGCTGTGAGTTCAGGGCCAGCCCGGGCTACATAGTGAGTCCAGGATCAGCCTGAACTACAAAGGGAGTCCTTGCCTCAGAAAAACAAATTAATGAAAAATTAAAAAGTAGACTGTTAATTTTAGTGGAAATAATAAAGCCAACCTAAAGCAAACCTGGTAGTCATCCATCCTGGAAACAGTATTTTTGTTACTCTCTTCTGCTTGGTAGTAAATTTGCATTTCTTTTAAGACTTTTCATAATTCACACATTTCACTATCAGATTAATTGTCTTTGCTAATGGGATTTGATGTTTAATCATGTTTCTGTGTAGGTTTTTTATTAAATAAATTTATGTGTTTGTTTAGAAATTTTAATTAAATGTTTCTGTATATTACTAGGTTCAGTCTTACGATCCAGAAACCAATTCTTGGCTCCTTCGTGCAGCTATCCCAATTGCCAAAAGGTGTATAACAGCTGTGTCCTTAAACAATCTGATCTATGTTGCTGGTGGACTGACCAAAGCAATATACTGTTATGATCCAGTTGAAGACTACTGGATGCATGTACAGAATACATTCAGCCGACAGGTAATTGGATAAAACAATCGAAAAAAGAAACCATAAGAGGGACTAAGTTCGTGGTCATTATTGATTTCACTTCTTAAATATTTTGGATATTGGATTACTCATAATTTTTAAGAGTTTCACATAAAACATCGATATTCCTGTTTTGAACTCCTTCTAAGGACTTGTTCTATTGAATTAGCTTTCTTTTTACCATCCCAAGGTGAAGCATCATTGCATCTGGCTGCTGCTATTTTTTCCCTTAACCTGTTTCAGAGTCCAGTCTTTACTGTCTTGCTCTTTGCTATTTCAGAAGAGAAGTGTTCCCAAACTGGTTGTTTCTCTGGTTGGAGGCTAGGTCATTTGTGTTTGTCACAAAGGACATGGTTGTGCTGAGGTCTCTTCCATTCGAATATTCCCTCCAGAGCCCCACTTCCCTCACCCCTGCCATTCCCAAAAGCCCTTTTCTTCAGTCTTTTGGTTCTTGGCTCTGTGGTCTTCCTTCCTCCATGCTGTTTCTGATGCTGGATATCTGGCTCTACTCAGACCACTTTAAAGATAAAGTATTCATTCTCACAGGGCACTACTTAGTAATCTCTTCAGTCTCTTTCATATTTTTTCCTACTCGATCCTTAAATATGAGTGTTGTTTGAGCCTCTTTCCCCTGATCTCTTCCTAGTTTATACCCTATCCCTGAATGATTTCATCTACTACTCAGTACTGGGGACTTCAAGTCTTTTTTTTTTTTTTTGTCATTTTTTTTCTTCTGGTATTGGGGATTGAACTCAGAATCTTGTGCTTGCAAGGCAGGTGCAGCACCACTGAGCTAAATCCCCAGCCCCAGGACTTCAAGTCTTTGTCTCCATCAAGTCTCTCTCCTCTGACCCAAATTCCAATTTCCAGATGCCTGTTTGGTGTTTTCCGTGGATTTTGGAAGACTTCAGACTTAAAATAGAGCTCATCTTCTTCCACATCTTTTTTCTGTCTCCAGACAACCTAGAAACTTAATTTATTAGATTTTCCTCATTTTCCCTTGAAATGAATTCTAGCTTATTTAGCTCAATATCCTCAGTTTGTGATATTTTTTCCATTCCTATTATTCCTACTTTTGTGCATGTTCTTACTTAAACAGAAACAATAATATTCAAATTAGTTTTCCTCTCTCTAATGCCTCACTTTTCTAAACCATTTTGCCACCTATTCTTTTTTCCACCAGATCAAATTGTGTCTCTCTCGATTGGAAACCTACTAAACAAAATCCAAAAGTATTAGCCCTTCATTCCAGACCTTCTATTTTTTTTTTGTAAAACATCTATTGGTGCATTTTAGATACACATAATGATAACATTCATCTCAGGGAATTTGTATCTGTACCTGGTACATCTTGCTGCTTTTTCCTGCCCTCACCCCCTTCAACCCTTTTTCCCCTCCTTATTTACAGAAGCTTTGTTTCCATATTTTCCCTTCTATTCTCTTTTTTTTCTCATCCCTTCCTTCCTTTCCCCTTCCCCCCTCCCTTGTTCCCCTTCCCATTTGAACATTTTCTTCCCATTTCCCAATGTCTGTTACACATTTTGGTCCTTATTTCCACTTTCGGTTTCTCACACCAGAGAAACAGTGCGGTATTTAAACATATGTGTCCGATTTATCTAACTTAAAATGAATAATTGATAATTTGAAATAGGAAAAGGTCCAAAGGTATAGGGGTGGTGAGAGAGGAAGGGGAAAGGAAAGAAGGGAAAGGAAAAACTATGAGAAAAGAAAAAAAATTAAAACAAAATCTATATAAATAGGGAAGGTTGGAGGGGGTGAAGGGCGCACAGGTAATGGGGAAAAAAATAAGAACCAAGATTCATCATGTACAGGTCCAAGCACCCAATGATAAACGTAAACATGTTGTATACCTAAAATGTACCAATAAAAGAATTTTTAAAAAACAACAACAAAAAAAGTATGGTCTCAAAGTGCATCCATTTAGCTAAACGTTAGACCTTCTGTTTTCTGAACTTTGTTCCCTTTCAGCTTCACTTTCTATGATTTTGCCCCGTTTACATTAAATATGTGTTTTGTGTATTCTCTGAATAGGTCATATATGTTCTTGGCTTGGTTCATGCTGTACTTTTAGCCTCTAATGCCTTTTTTCTTTCTCTGCTTGAAATGCTACTCATCTTTCAAGAACCACTTCATAGTTCCGAAACACTGAGGTTACCTTGGCTAGAACTGATCTCTTTTTCCTTTTGCAGTTACAGCACTCATATTTCTATTATTGCAATCATACATTCCTTTATGGGTATAAATACTTATTTCCCATACTGGAATTCACCTTTCTTGAGGTCACTGTTTATTCTAACTCCTCTCAATGTGTCTTACATTGCTCAGTAAATACTAAGTAATAAGGAAGTGAGGTAAATGAGGGACCTAGTATCAAGATAATTCTAATCTCCTCTAAATCTCCTTTCCCCATTTTTGTTCTTGTTGATATTATTAAACTTATCTCATGTTTATGACATACAGTGTTTACACTCATTGAGGTTATTAGGTTCCTGTACCTGGCATATCTTTATTCTGCTTATTTCCCCTTCTTCTTCCTCTCCCCTCTCCCCTCACCCATATTCCCTTGGACCCCTTTCCATTTGCAAGAGATCCATCCCCTTGTCTCCTTCTAGCCATCCTTTATTACGCTCTTCATCTGTACTTTACTGTATTCAAGTGAGAGATACTATACAGTATTTAACCTTGTATGTCTGATTTATTTCACTCAACATTATATTTTCCAGGTACATCCATTTTCCTACAGATGTCTTAAATTTGTCCCTCTTTATAGCTGAGTAATAGTCCATTGCGTACAGATACCGCATTTTCCTTATCCAGTTGTCTGTTGATGGGTATGCAGACTGCTTTCAGGATTTAGCTATTATGAACTATGCTGCTATAAACACTGGTATCCATGTACTACTGCAGTATGATGTCTTAAACTCTTTGGGGAAGACCTAGAATGGGGATAGCTGGGTCATATGGAATTTCTAATTTTAGTTCTTTGAAGAATTTCAGTACTGATTTCCATAATGGTTATTGTAGTTTACATTCCCACCAACAAGTAGGAGGGTTCCTTTTTCACCACAGCCATGCCAGCATTCTTCTTTTTATCTTGATGATTGCCATTCCTTCTGGGATAAGATGGAATCTCGGTGTTGTCTTAATTTGCCTTTCTGTAATGGCCAGGGATGTTGAACATTTTTTTCTATATTTGTTGGCCAGTTACCTTTCTTCCTCTGAGAAGTATCTGTTCATTCTACTTGCCCACTTCTTGACTTTTACGGATACAAAAATAATGATTTTATTTTTGTAATATTAGGATCATGTTTTATTTGTTTTCAAAAATCGCATTAAAAGCTCTTGTGAGTTCCCACAGTATCCCAGACCGTGTCTCTGAGACGCAGCGTGACCTTTACTTTGCTTTTACCCTCTTTTTCTTTTTGTTTGACCCAGATTCACTCTGCAGAGCTAGTTTCTCCCACACCCATTTAGCCTACACTTCTCAAACTTTTGGCACCATTAAAAGTAATAATAATAATATTAAAAGCCACACCTATAATCCTTCCAGGCCAGCCCAGCTGCATAGTGAATTCAAGGCCAGCCTGAACTACATGGAGAGACCCTGTCAAAAAAAACAAACATTAAAACTTCGTACTTTGATCAATTGTTTTTCCCACTAGCTGCCCTTAACTTCTGAGTGAAGACTATGTTTTTCATACACTACAAATACTCATAAAGTATTTTACATAGACTGAAATAAATTGTTTTATCTAGTAGAAGTAATTTCCTGATATGAAGAATTGTTTTCAAGGTTGCTTGCTTCGTTTAATTCTGAACATTATTATCTGAAATATTAATAACTAGATTTTATAATTATATATTCTTTCAGTTAGAGTATCTTCAAAATAACTGTAAGGCTTACTAGTGGGAAATAGCTTGTACCTGGAAATTAAGGATATCTTTGTTGTTGTTTTTATTACATTCAGAACTTTTTAGAATTCATAGAAAGAACTCATTGTTCTTTAGATGATAAATATTGTAGTTTGACCCATAATTGGAGCCAGCTCATAGGTGTGGTATTCTGGATGAAAATGCTATTCACTAATGAGAATGAGCTAAATCATTTTGGGTAAATATAATCTCTAATAGACACATCTTGAAGCAAATTAATTCTTTCAGACCTGAAGATAGTATCCTATTATATAAGTCCAGGGCCGGGGATTTAGCTCAGTGGCACTGCACCTGCCTCGCAAGCACAAGGTCCTGAGTTTGATCCCTGGTAGCAGAAAAAAAAAAAAAATAATAATATAAGTCCACCAAGATTTAATTTCTAGTAGAGAAAAATTTATATATAGCATATCTGGCCAAGTAAAAATGTTTACTGAACTCATTGGTAGACCTGTTTCACTGTTGATTGTGTGAAACCAGGATATTAACAGGCAGTAAGCTGGCCATGGCAGTGCACACCTGTAATCCTACCAATTTAGTGAGGCCTATCTCAAAATAAAGAGCTCAGTAGTAGAGCACTTGCCTAGCATGTGTAAGGCCCTAGGTTTCAACCCTCAGTACTAATAAAAGAAAAATGCAGTGGCATTTTGAAGTAAAGAGAAATATAAATAAGAGAATATTTGACTTGCAGCCTAACCAGAATCATGTAATAGTAAGACAGGGACTTGTTTGTTTGTTTGTTTTATTGTTTTTTGGGTTTTTTTAAGACAAGGTCTCACTATGTAGTTCAGGCTGGCCTTGAATTCACTGTAGCTCAGGCTGAATTCAAACTCCCAGTGATCCACTTGCCTCAGCCTCCTAAGTACTGGGATTACAGGTGTGTATCAACACACCCAGTTTAATACTGTAGTGAGACACTTTTCAATGCAGTTTCTTTCTTTGAAGAGCCACTTTCATCTTTGCAAGAATATTTATTTTGTGGCTGGGTCTGTAGCTCAGTAGTAACATGCTTGCCTACCATGTACAAGGCCCTAGGTTCAATCTCCACTATGACAACAAAAAAAATTGCTTTACGTAATAATTTATATTACTGAGACACAAGAGTAAAATTTAGCAAAGAATCCCATTATGTGGGAAGTTAACTGTAAAATGTTATTTGGGGGCATTTCTGTGTCCCAGCCAAGACCTCTATGTAATAAGTGTTTCGTTCATTTGATTATAACTTTCATTCAACTTGTCGGTAATCCCCTAAAGTGAATAATGGTCCCATCCTCTGATCGTGCATTAGGTACTTCCTATAATAAAGAACCTTCTGCAATAGGAGAAGCAAGTCTGGCTGTACCAAGAGATTTTTGTTTAATCGCCACTGAGTTAAAACCTTCCTGAGTCTTATCGCTCCCACCTGCCTCCTTCATCTTGGCCTGTGTTACTAACAATTTATTGTAATGCTCACTCAATTCATGCAGAATTATTCGGCACTCGCACACAAGACAGGAGTTGGGCTAAAGGGATCTTAGCTTGTGTCTCGCGGCCCTCCCCTGCTTGCCTGTGTTAGCGTATGTACAGCCAAAGTGAGCACATTTGCCTATGTTAAAGCATGTCTTATTTTACTCTTCAGTGTGTTACTTTATCTTCGGCCGTTAATTTTTTTATGTATTTGGTTAAACAGGAAAACTGTGGTATGTCAGTGTGCAATGGTAAAATATATATCCTGGGTGGAAGACGGGAAAATGGAGAGGCCACAGACACTATTCTCTGTTACGATCCTGCGACAAGTATCATCACAGGTGTGGCCGCGATGCCCAGGCCCGTGTCCTATCACGGCTGTGTGACTATTCACAGATACAACGAAAAGGGCTTTAAGCTCTGAAGCCAGGCTACCTCACCCAAGGAGCCGTGCGGAGAAGATGACAGGTTTCGAAACTCCAGAGTGGGAACTTACCTCCTTCGTGCCCTATGCAAAAACAGTAAAAATAATGATCCTGGTGCCTTTCTCCCAGAAATGTCAATCTTGTAAACTGTAATAAAGCCTTTCCTATCATTGAAAAAAGTTGTTTGTTGTTAAGGATAATAGCAGTTGTTGCTTGGCCTTTGGGAGTGTACCTTTGTAAATATTTGTAAGAAGCCTGTGTGGAGTAGGAAATAATGTCTGTACTTTTAGGAATCTGTGAATGGGCTCTTCATTTATATATTTTTAGCTACAAGATTTATTTTATCATATGTAGAGAAAATTGCATGGCTGAAGCTTAGTTTAGGTTGACTCACCTAATGCTAAGAACATTTATATTGCATTCTGAGAGGAAAAAGTCAGTTTTCAAAATCTTTGTCACTGACATACAATTTCCAAATTAGCTTATTTTATTAAAATTTTTTTCTGTAATTGATAAAAAGGTAAAATGACAATTTGAGTGTCATAAAATATTGAATTATTGTGACTTTTTTTTTTTTTTTTTGGTACCGGGGATCAAACTCAGGAACCTGGCACTGCGAGGCAGGCGCCGGAACCACTGAGCTAAATCCCTGGCCAGTGACTTCATTCTTATACTTGCTGTCTTACACAAAACACGTTTTTGTGGGGAAAGTAGGAAATAAAAATGTAAATGCCCATAAAAGAGGGATTAAAAATACAGATGAATTCCTAAGAAAAAATAAATATTGAAGAAAAAAACTTGTGACCTACAGTGACTTTCCAAGTAGCTGTACATCAAAATAAGTCCTCTAAGGAAGTTTTGTTCCTTGAACCTGACAAGGGAGTTGAATCCATTTTGCAGTATGGTCTTGTGAAAAACAGCGATGAGTCTCTCCCAGCCCAGCAGGGTTTGGCCTCATTATTGCAGCGCTTTGGGTGACCTCGTCCCTGTTATCCACTGTCTTGTGAACACCTGAAAGTTCTGAGAATCTCTGTTGTTAGGGTGCCTTTCGTAGGCCAAACCAGGGACCACATATCTCAGTGGGTCCATTTCTTTTATATTTAACTGGAAAGAAGGAATAGTCGTTCCAGTCTTCTAAGATACATCTTTCACTTGGTACCCATTGTGTAAAATACTGATCAGCATTTTCAAGTTTCCATAAGACAAACTGCTTTCATTTATATTTCTCAACTCCAGTTTATAAAGCTTACCAGTTTTCCAAAAGGAATATAGAATTTTTTCTAAGGCAAATAAATGGACATGGAACTACAGCATAAATAATTACCATGAGTCCTGGTTGGACAGATACAATCTACAGCATCTTAGGCCGGCACCACGCAGCCTGCTGTCTTCACTCCCCAGTCACTGTTGTCTTTCACATAATTGTATATTCTGTGCCGTGGTGGGGGTGATGCGGAGACCTGATTTTAGTGTTGCCAGCTTTCTGTTAAAACCAAAGTAGTAATCAAAAACCTAACATTGGTAAACTTTTCTTCCTCGTCTTGGAAATTTCAGGCAGAGAAATTTTAATGCTTAGCTAGAATCTAAATTCTGAAAAAAAAACTCTTAAAAACTACATCTTTGAGGAATTTTTATTTTTTTAAGTCATAATTTTAAAATGAAACTTTGTGAAAACTATCAAAGAAATTCAGAAAACAGGTGTCTCATTTTAGTTGAAAGCCAATTTGTACAATTTAGGATACTTGAATAGTAAACATCTGCATTATACTTTTGTAAATAATGGAACCTATTTAGTTCAGAAATTCTTTACAGTAAATGAGATAATGTATGAAAAAACTTGTAAATGCTTAGGATTATACAAATGATAGGTGTTATTTTCATGTGTATTGTAAGGTTATGTCTATCCATATATAGACCACATAAAAAGGCTTTCTCAAGATAACTTTGTATCCTAGTATTTTTGTTTATTATACAAATATTAACTTGTATTTTGTTATAGTTCTTTTTCACATCCATGTGTTTATTGTACATTTGAAGTGAAACTTGAAAAGCCAGAATTTGTTTAAACATAAACCTCATACCAATATTGTTTAATTTTTTTCTCTATCTAAATTGAATAGTTGTAATTTGTGTTGAAGGCCACCAAGGGCTCATCTTGAATTCTAGAAAATTATTTTTGAAGTTACCCAACTGATACTTTCACTTCAGTTAAAGATTTTTACTGCTGGGTGTGGTGGTGCACACCTAAAGTTCTAGTACTCCAGAGGCCGAGGCAGGAGGATTGCCCCCTGTTCAAGGCCAGCCTGGGCTACATAGTAAGACGCTGTGTCAAAAAAAAAAAGAGCCTTTCCTAATTTGTAATAATTAATTCCCTTATCCTTGATAAAATAAGATAGAACCTTAGGTTATATGAAAAAGGATATGCCAAGCAAGTTGTTGTCAGGTTATATTCATTCTGTCATCCCATAGTTGACAGGTTTTCTTTTGATAGCTGAAGTTCCTATGAGCTTCTGGGTTAGTACATGTATATATGTATGTGTATGTGCAGACAGTATGGTTGTGTACACACATACACAAACATCAGGAATCTTTGCAGTTTGTGATCAGAAAAAGGAAAAATTTGTTGATCATATTAAATTCAATTCTAGAATTTTCAACTATTTCTATAGTACTTTTTATATTTGAAAGTACAGAATGAGCTGGGCATGGTGGCACACACCAGTAATCCCAGCACTTGGGAGGCTGAGGCATGAGGATCGCCACGATTTCGAGGCCTGCTTGAACTACATAGTGAGACCCTGGCTTAGCCAAAAACAGTACAAGATGAGTGTCAGTAACGATGACTTCTATACTATCAGAATCTGCATAGCACACCAGTTTTAGAAGGTCAGAAAAGAAATCGGCAGTAAAGATGAGTTTGCTGAACTAGCTGTGATGCCTCAGTCGGAAAGGAAATCCAGAGTATGCTTTACAGAGCAACAGAAAGTACAATTGATGCGCGTGTGTTTCGTGACCTTTAACCCTTTGCTGTTCTCCAGTATGTGAGGGAGTGCAAAGTCCTCTAACTTCCTCCTCTTCTGTGATACTGCCGCTGACTGTACTGCGCGGGTATGGTAACCTGTTGGCCCTTCAGTAACCATTTTTTCCTAGATGGCTGAAACATAGGTATTTACTCCATTTAAACCAGGTTATGATGTAAATACTCAGGGAGGGTATTAACCTGTCACGTTTGGCTATTTGGGGTGTTTAAAGTCCCATAACCTTCAGTTGATGATTCTGAAATTAAATTTGGTAAAGGGGCTTTGCACACGGCAGTAGTTGAACATTCTTTTATACCTAGGAAGATGAAAATGTTTTTGTGAGCTGATACATTTTCTCTTAGTGAATATGAATTGTCTATCTCTGACAACCCTTTTTCAAACTCAGGAAGACAAAGGTTGAGTTACACTACTTTTGTCAATATGCAAACCAGGTGTGTGTTTCTTTTTCCTGTTACCTGGATATGGCAGTAGATTTAACAAATACTGTGAGAACCTATACATGACAGTAGAGGGGCTGAGTTATTTGTGTGTGCCTTGTGTGTCTTGAGGTTTATATGTGGGAAAGACATCTCCAGACTATTTTCAAAAAGGAGAGCTTGCCATTTATATGGTGCAAAGTGATAAGACGCTGTCAGCTAAGGCTTCCTATGGACTGCCTTTATTTTAGGAAACTCAAGACAATAGTTAACCTCCATATAATTTTGGCCTTACTAAAATTTGTTGTGCATTATGTTGAAAGCCAGGTTTACTTCACCTCACTCTATTCTTCTTAGGTAAATAAATTCACCATACCAAGTAACCAGAATGGGTCAGTTCAGTTGGCCCATAAGGCAGTAGATTTGAGCAGCTAGCTACACCTATTGTCACATCAAATGCTAGGCACCGGAAACCACTTGAGCCAGGAGGGTGAACTGTTAATTGCAGAGACATTTTCCACACACTTTAGACATTTATGAATGTTTTACATTTGTGTGATTGCCTTAGATAGTAAATTTACATAATACTAAGGATGATGATCTTTTTTAAAAAAAAAGTCGTAACATACATTATCCCAAAGAAAAGTTTTTTGTTTTAGTCTTTTCAAAGTAACTGCATCAGCCTTAAATTACCAGTGCTATTTCAGGTTCTCAATCTAAATAAATCTAACTTATCTAATCATAGGTAAGTTTCATATTTATTTCCTGTAAAGACAATAAACTTCCCCTTCTTAAGTGTTTTAATGAGCACCAACTGTGGTGACTTGGTGGAATAATGTTAAGAGAGGCTGTTGTGTGCTTGGACTTTTATTATATTTTTTATTTTTACTTTTTGATACCCAGGTGCTTTTTAAAATTATTCAGGTAACATTGATCTTAAATTGACTAAGCCCTTGTAAAAGCCATTTGTAATAGTTACATGTAGCGCTGAAAAAGCTTTTCTACTTAACTTTTATTCTATTCTTACATGGTGTTTTCTTTTTTCCTGTACAGGCTTTTTCTTTAACTTTCTCGAAAAGGCATTTATTGTTCTCTTTCCCAATGCCCCTCCCTGCAGTTTATTTAAACTTCTATTGAGAGATTCTGGAGCTAAGACAGCCCAGCTTTAGAGTTGAACAAAAGTATAATCTGCTTTACAACTAGTACGTCCCGTGGCAACCAAGTGTCATTTGCTTTCCATAAGAGGTTCCAAAGTCTTCACAGTGAAAAAATAAAAGTTTGTGTTTCATCATTCTCAATTCAACTGTAGCACGTTAATACATGTTTTGTTTAAACTTCTTGCATAGTTTAAATTTATGTAAGTTAACTAATGTCTTTAACCATTATTACTTGACTATGGTTGTATTAAATTTTATTTACCAAAAAAGTTGTTCTGTTTTTATTTAAATATCTCTAAGTAGTTGTACAAAAAAAGGAGAAAATATATACAGTATTACTGTATGTATGCATGTTCTGGTTGTGACAATAAAAAATTAGGAACGTAAGTGTTAATGGGGAAAGAAAATGGTGGCTGAAAGACAGGTATGCTAAGGTTTGTCCCAGAAAGCTTTGCGTGCTGTGAGTGCGGTCCCCAGCCTTGTGTTGAGGAGGTAGAGCTTTTTACATGGAGTCCAGCAGAAACTGGGTGGTGAAAGAAAAAGTCTGAAGGACATCTCTCCATGGTTCTGACCCTTCCATTCCAGACCAGAAGCCTTCAGCTCCAGAATAATGAACCCTGCACAAACACGAAACAGCCCAGTGAGCACTGAGATGGGTGACCTGGTCCCAGAATAGTTCCCAGCTTCCTCATTCCCTGCCACCCCTTATAAACTCCTTACTCTTAAGAGCTGCTGTGCTGGCCCTTTGGAGCCAGCGGCCCCTCTCAAGTCTTTTATCTCAAATAAACCTGTCCTTGCTGCAAGTCTGTCTCCTCTTTATTCATACCAGTGGTTCCTGGAGGCCCTGCCCTTGGAAGGGATTAATACTGGTCTGAGGACCGGGTTAGGTCTCACAAGAGTGAGTTGTTCTCTATTCCTCCCATGGTGCCATCTCCACATTGTGAGGTGAGCAGAGATATGCAGATGCCCATGCCGTCCTCTCAAACAGCTAAATAACCCCTTTTTTGTATAATCTACCCAGCCCATTCTGTTACAGCAATACAAAGACTAAGGTAAAGGAAATGTAACTGCATGTGTACCTAAATATACCTTAAATCAACCTTTTAGCCTGAACTACATGAAAACATTAACTATTCCAAAACTTTTAATTACAGAACCAGGCATGATAGTTCACACCTATAATCCAGGCCTTGAGAGCTTGAGGCAGGAGGACCATGTTGAGTTTGAGGACCCGCCTTAATTGTATGGCAAGACCTTGTCTCAAAAAAACAAAATGAAGAAGGGTTTTAATTACAGAAGATAATTCACACTTGCACTCTAGTTCTGTAAATTTGGTTCTTGCAGAAGAGTGGGGGTGTTGAGACAGGGTCTTGCTGTGTAGCCCAGGCTGGCCTCAAACTCGCACCAGTCCTCCTGCCTCAGCCTGCCAAGTGTTGGGATTACAGGCGTGTGCCACCCTCTGGCTTGAATTTGGTTCTTAAAATTCTTTACAATAAAATCAAGGCTAAAGGACTGAATATTTATTTCAAATAAATTTGGAACAAAAAGGAAAAAGCATGGTGTTATTTACTGGAGAGACAGCATCAAATATCTAGAGAGATGACTTTTTTTTTTTTTTGGTACTGGGAATTGAACTCGGGACCTTGTGCTTACGAGAACCACTGAGCTAAATCTCCAGCCCAATATCAAATATCAAAGACAGTGTCGCCCCTCACTGGAGAGGGATTGCCTGAATTAGCATAAGAATCTTCGAGAAGATAAAAGTATAGAAAAACACAATGTTTAGCTTTTTATGCTTAGTTTTAGAGTTCTACCATCAAAGTAAAATAGCAAGTTAAAGTGCTTTTAAATAGTGTTAGAGGCGGCTTCATTTGGCTTATTGTTCACGTAGCCACATCTGGGAGTGCAAAGCCTTCATCGGGCCAGATCCCAGCCAGTGCTGACCCCAGAGCCATTACCTGAGTCTCCCTCTCCCTCTTCTAGAAGTGCAGCCATAACAGCAGCTGTTTTAGGAGACCAGATAATCCAACATGCGTTCAAGAGTAAGCAGTTCTGACCCACAAGAGCTGTGTGAAAATGTTGCTAGTTTAGAATACAAATGCAATGTGCAGAAGCAGGGAAGACGTGAAAAGCATACATCAAGCCAGGCACAGCAGTGCATACCTGTAGTTCCGACGCTGTGGGAAGCTGAGGCAGGAGGATGCCAAGTTCCAGCCCACACTGGGCAATTTAGTGACTTACCAAGACCTGTCCCAAAATATAAAATAAAGCAGGTGGGGCGGAGGACCCAGTTCAGTGTGAAGGCCCTGGGTTCAGTCCCCAGTGTTGGGGCAGGCAATGGATACATTAGTTTACATTTGGAAAACTGTCTAACAGTAAATAGAAACTTCATGTATTTTAATTTAAATGTTCTTTTAAAAAAAATCACTTGCTCAATGGAATGCAGGGGAAATGGGCATAATAAATAGGCATTATAAAGCCTGCAGATTCTTTGCTACTTAGGAACTGGTAATGGAAACAAAATCAGAAGGGATAGTCTACACCTAATTATGTTGGGGTCTTTGAAGACTAGCACTAAGACTTGTATTGACAGTTTATATTTTATATACTTAATGATTTTCAACATCTTTACAGGGGCTGGCTGGCTGGGAAGACTGCCTCTCTGGAGCTGGCTAATTCCTAGACACAGCAGTATCCAATTCGTGGTGAGCCTGCATTTTACATACAAATCAACAAATCCAACTTCATACCTCCAGCCACTTTATCTGACTCTTACACCTCGAGCCACTTACTCTCCTGCACTAATTCATCCCAGTGCCAGGTTCCAGACAACAAGGGACAGCACCCATTCCTCAGCACATAGCATAATTACTCCAACTAGCTGGTCCTAAACTGCTTGCCGACATCTCCCTCGCCTTTCCAAAGGAAACCCAGTACAGACAGTGGCCTGTATTTTCTCTCTGCTCCTTTCTACCTCCTAACTAACACACTGGCATTTACTCCTGTGGCCCTGTGTGGACATCTGTGATTCTAGGGAAACTGAATAGTAATTTTTTTTTTTTACTTTGACATTTTGGGGATTGAACACAAGGCCTTGGGCATGCTAAGCAGGCACTCAACCACTAAGCTACATTCCCAGCCTCTAGGCTTTTTTCTATTGTTTGTTTTGGAGATGGGGGTCTCACCATGTTGCCCAGACTGGCCTTGAACTCCTGGTCTCAAGCAGTCCTGCCTCAATCTCTTGAGTAGCTGGGACTACAGGTACACACAACTTGTGGCAGTTAGGGTGGAGGGTCAACTTGATTGGCTTTGGGATCTGCCAGGGGATTGGTGGATCACACTTCTGGGTATGTCTGGGTGGGTCGGGAAGGCATGACTTTGGGATCTATGCGTGGTCCCTGTTCCCTGCCTCTCTGTACTGTTCCCCTCCTCTGCTTCCCAATTTCCATGAACTAAGCATCTTTGCTCTGCCCCACCTTTCAGCCATGTGTCTGCCTTGGAGCCAGCTAACCATGGACTGAATCCCCCAAAACCATGAGCCAATCCAAGCATGGTGGCACACACACTTGGGAGGCTGAAAGTGCATGAAAGTTTTGCTCCAGCAGCAAATTTCTAAATGTAGATGCATTTCAAGATGAACTCTGAGTAATCTTTGTCCCCAAGACTAGTAAGGATTGGAAGCCACCTTGCTTATCATTTACTAATTCAAGTGCTAGAGTTGAAATTTTATAATGCGAAATTTGTGAAGATCACCACTTAAATGGAAAATAGCATAAACACACAGGGAATACTGTATTTAAGATTTCTTCTTTGTAGTTACATAGTAAAATTTAACCTGGGTTTGATTCAAGTGAAATAAAAATGAGCCCAAGGTACAAATCCTTTTTCTGGTGACTCTATGGAGCTATCTAGAATGAATGCAGTTTAGGAATGTAGTTCTAAAGTAATGTCTCCATTCTTAAACAGTGCCATTTTAAGCACTTAATGGTTTACCCTGTGTGTCCCTCAGGCAGCACATTTGTTTACATACTATCACGAGGAGTGCTTGGGCAGGTGTCATTTCAACCAGTCAATTCTTGTATTGAATAAGTGATAAAATTATTTTTATATTTTCTGTTATATAATAAAAATTAATGAAAAAATATGCAATATTTGGTCATCCTGTATTTAAATAATTGGATTGGTAAGTGGTTAATTGAAGAAAAGACAAATTCACCATACATTAAAAGGAAATTAAAGAACCATTAAAGAATGCTGAATTTATTTATTTATTTATTTATTTATTTTTTGGTACCGGGGATTGAACTCAGGTCCTTAGCTTGCGAGGCAGGCGGTGGAACCACTGAGCTAAATCCCCGGCCCGCGCTGAATTTATATTAGTGAAAAACCAGCTCCTGCCCAGGTCAGCCTACCAGCTCATCTTTATGGAGAGTCAAGAATTAACCTGGTGGCGCATGCCTGATCCCACTGCTCAGGAGGCTGAGGCATGAGGATCACAAGTCTGAGGCCAACCTGGGCTGCACAGTGAGTTCAAGGCCAGCCTGAACTACAAAATGAAACCTTGACTCAGAAAAATAGCAACAACAACACAAAAAACCTAAGATCTAAATTAAACCTCTCCTCCTTTAAATTGTGGGTGTTAAGTATTTTGTCTCAGCAACAGGAAATTTGACCAATAAACCACCTTACCCAGATAACATTAAACTTTTTTTCAATAGCATTGTGTCTCCATGTTATCACTCAGTGACTTTATAAATTAAGTGACTGGTTCATTTTTGTATTGTAAAGCATGCTCTGGCCAGGCATGGTGGTGCATGCCTGTAATCCCAGGACTCGAGAGGCTGAGGCAGGAGAATCGCCACAAGTTCAAGGCCACCCTGAACTACACAGCAAAACTCTTCCTTAAAAAACAAAACCATGCTCTTCACAGAGGTGTTTAATATTAGTAAGTAGAAGCACCAATTTGGTATGGTTATTCCTGTTTAAAAAACAGACTTTAGGGCCAGGGATGTAGCTCAGTGGTGTGCACCTGCCTGGCAACTGCAAGGTCCTGAGTTCAATTCGCAAAAAAAAAAAAAAAAAAAAAAAGACCTCAGACAGGACCTTTGAGTTATAGTTTGATGAGCATAATAGTCCATCTTTACTATAAACTGCAGAAGGGGAATTAATTCTCTCAAAACAAGTCTTTGAGCCCTCATATCTTTATTCTTAGTAAACGTGATGAATCATGTACAAATGGAAGGAGGAAATTAGGTTTTTAAAGATCACA